CAAGTTTATCCTTTAGCCAAGTAATTCTTTCAGGAAGCATTCTATATATAGAGGAGGTCACTCTGCAAGCAAGTCTCTCAGCCAAGCCATTCTCTATGTGAGTAGTCTCTATCTAAGCGAGGTACTCTCTATGCAAGTTATTCTCTATGTGAGTAACTCTCTATGTGAGTAACTCTCTCTGTGAGTGATTCTCTCTGTGAGTTATTCTCTATGCGAGTGAGTCTCTCTGTGAGTTAGTCTCTCTGCGAGTAAGTCTCTATGTGAGTAAGTCTCTATCTATGCGAGTTATTCTCTGTCTAAGCGAGTTATTCTCTATGTGAGTTATTCTCTATGTGAGTTATTCTCTATGCGAGTTATTCTCTATGCAAGTTATTCTCTATGCGAGTTATTCTCTATGCGAGTTATTCTCTATGTGAGTTATTCTCTGAGAGTCATTCTCTATCTATGAAAGTTATTCTCTGCGAGTTATTCTCTATGCGAGTTATTCTCTGAGAGTCATTCTCTATCTATGAAAGTTATTCTCTGCGAGTTATTCTCTATGCGAGTTATTCTCTATGCGAGTTATTCTCTATGCGAGTTATTCTCTATGCGAGTTATTCTCTATCTATGCGAGTTATTCTCTATCTATGCGAGTTATTCTCTATGTGAGTTATTCTCTATGTGAGTTATTCTCTATGCGAGTTATTCTCTATGCAAGTTATTCTCTATGTGAGTTATTCTCTATGCGAGTTATTCTCTATGCAAGTTATTCTCTATGTGAGTTATTCTCTATGCGAGTTATTCTCTATGTGAGTTATTCTCTATGCAAGTTATTCTCTGAGAGTCATTCTCTATCTATGAAAGTTATTCTCTGCGAGTTATTCTCTATGCGAGTTATTTTCTGCGAGTTATTCTCTATGCGAGTTATTCTTTATATAAACGTTATTTTTCATGCCAGTGTATTCCTCATGTCTTTGAGACTTTAAACCAAGACAGAGTCCTATTTGTCTCAGACCAGGAGTTCAGGAACCAGAGACCTGGATCAGTTCAGACCTCAAGTCCTCATTTTCTGAAACAGGAGACGACGTGGAGCTAATTGAGTTTACTGATGACCCATAAGTCACACACATGATCTGTGTTATTACCACATGGTCTGTATCTGTATCATCACATGATCTGTATCACCACATGATCTCTATCATCACATGATCTCTATCATCACATGATCTGTATCATCACATGATCTGTATCACCGCATGATCTCTATCATCACATGATCAGGTTATTATGGGATGTCGTAGTATTATTGAAACACATTTCAGGGTCATTGTGTTATTCTGTGTTATTAATTCATATGCATGTGTCATCAACATGCGTATCTGTTATTACACATGGTTTAATGTGTAATTGACATGTTTGTGTGTTATTAACTCATGGTAATAACACATGTTTCTCCATGTCATTAACATGTGCTTCTCCTCCCCAGGTGGTTGGATAAACTGGGCCTCTCGGCCCGGCTGGGCACGGCTGTGGTGATGCGGCAGGTGTTCATTGGCTCTGGCAGTTATCATCTGCTGGATGACAACCTGGATCCACTTCCTGTGAGACGCTATGACCTTTACGTGTCTAAGTACAGTGTAGAGCAACTGTTGCACAACTTAAGGGACCAATTTAATCTATAATAACGTTATTCAAATTGATTGATTAACTATTTGATTGAACTTTGCAACGATATATTGGTCCCCTACAAATAATACCACACACGTTATTGATGATAACACGTTATTGATGATAACCATATCTGCTCACAGGACTACTGGTTGTCGGTCCTCTACAAGAGGCTTGTGGGTCCCGAGGTTCTGAAGGTAGAATCCCCGAGCAGCAGAGTGAGGCTGTACCTGCACTGCTCCAACAGGAACAGGTTCTCCCGCTATGAGGTCACACCTTGTCCCTTCCTGCCCGACATCTCGGCTGACTTTCCTTCCTCTGTAGTTACAGAGGCGGAGCCGTCACCCTGATCTCCATGAACCTTGGACGGGAGCCGGCCTGGATCTCCCTTCCGGCCCTGCTGTCCTCCTCCAGCACAGTGGAGGCTTTTGTCCTCCAGTCCGACCGCCCGGGGGGTGAGGGGCTCTACTCCAGGTACCGATCTATAGCTCCATTGATTGCTTTATGTGTCTAGTCCTTCTGTCACAATGCTGAAGAGCCTTTAGAGATTCAAGGTTCTCGTAAGACAAACAGGATCTCATAGAACATGAAGCATGAATGTAGAGGAAACATACAACATGTATTCATGCTGTGCATTGTGGGTAATTCCAAAAAGTCAGCCCTGGGAGAGTAGTATTAGTTGTATTAGTATCATTGTTAGTAATACTTCTGCGTGTGTGTGGTGGACTACACGTATGTGGTCGTACAGCACCAGAGCTCACGTACTGTGTCACTGCCCAGGTGTGTGAAGCTGAACGGAGGTGTGCTGAAGATGGTGGACGACAGAACTCTTCCTCATCTTAAAGGAGCTCGTCTTCCTCCAGCAGAACACCTGCAGCTGCCTGCTTTCTCGATGGCCTTCTTCGTCCTCACAGACGCTGGAGCCGTCGCCTGTATGTGACACATCAGGGGACAGCCCACCTGTCCAGGTACTAGCAGGCCAGACACTGGCATCACCTTACCAGGTGATAAACAGGGGTAATATGAAGATGATGAACATGAAGATTTAATAAACACATCTTCAACGTGTCAAACCTTTCAGATTATGTTAAGAAGAGAGGAACTAATAAAGGATGTGATGAGTTTTTAGTTCTGCTTTATTTATCATGTAGTCTCTCTTGTTTTTACGGTTTATTCAGGGTTAAATTCTTTAACAATTATTTCATCTATAAAGATTAGATGACACAGAACCCTTTAACGTGGGAATCTGTCTCTGAATAGTAGAGCTGGATTCTTCTGGATTCATGCAGGGACTCCCTCCCCGAGACAGTAGGGACAACTGCTCCCAGTCCAGCGGTGTGGGGAGAACCTTCCATCCATCTGCTCACTCAATCATCTGGAAAGTCAAAAAAGCTTGTTGAGTCGTGTTGATGTTTGTGTAGTTTGATTAGGAATCAGGAATCAGGAAACATGTATTGCCAAAATATGTCAAACATACAAGGAATTTGTCTTGGCAGTTGGTGCGTGACAGGAGACAGTGTGACAATAGACAACAAGACAGCAGTGCACAAGTAATAAAATAAAGTAAAATGAAATGCTGATGCAATGGGTCAGTAGAATAAGGCTATGGGTTAGTATAAAACAAGGGAATAAAAAGTAAAAAATTTAAAATATGAAAAAAGTTTTAAAATATTAAGCATAAAGTGCACTAACGAACAAGTACCGAACAAGTGACGAGTGACGAGTGGCGACAAAGTGATGAATCACAGTTAAAGTGACGTGTGCAGTGTGAAGGGAAGTGACCGGTGGGATGTCAGAGTCAGTCAGTGGGGGACCGGCTCTGCTGATGAGCCCGACTGCCGACGGGAAGAAACTGTTGGTGTGGCGGGAGGTTTGTCCTGCAGCAGAGACGGGATGATGGTGTTGAAGGCAGAGCTGAAGTCCACAAACAGGATCCTGGCGTAGGTTCCTGGGGAGTCCAGATGCTGGAGGATGTAGTGGAGGACCATGTTGACAGCATCGTCCACAGACCTGTTGGCTCTGTAGGCGAACTGCACGGGGTCCAGGAGGGGGTCGGTGAGGGACTTCAGGTGGGTCAGGACTAGCCGTTCAAAAGACTTGATGACTACAGAGGTCAGGGCGACGGGCCTGTAGTCATTGAGTCCTGTGATCCTGGGCTTCTTGGGAACAGGGATGATGGTGGAGGCCTTGAAGCAGGCTGGTACGTGGCATGTCTCCAGGGAGGTGTTGAAGATGTCAGTGAACACCGGAGACAGCTGGTCAGCACAATGCTTCAGGGTGTGAGGGGAGACGGAGTCCAGGCCGGCTGCCTTACGGGGGTTTAGTCTTCTAAAGAGCCGGTTAACGTCTCTCTCCAGAATAGAGAGGGTCGTCGCTGGTGGGGGAGGGGAAGGTGATATAGATGAAGAGGCTTGTAGAAGCCATTTCACTACATTTGTATCGTGCATAATGAAACTGCCTTTTCTGTTGATTTATTTGTGATGATGTAATGATGACGTCAGGGGGCGTCGGCTATTTAAATGTCACCTGAGTAAGGCCAGGTGTGTTTTTTATTTTGAGAGCGGAAGGAGATACTATTTTTGACCGCATTACGCATTGAATTCTCCGTTTATTATGAGTGTCATTTATGTTGTTTTTGCCGAACAATGAATAAAAGAATATTAAAGTGACAATACGAGCAAATGCGCGTTGATTTTACCGGCCGCTCCTACAAGGCGCGAGCACCTGATTAGCGTCCATGTGGCGGCGCTGCATTAAATGCAGGTTAATAATGGATTTTATACAGATAACCACAGATTTTATCATGGCAAAACAATATAATATTAACATATTATGTAGTGTAGCTTTAACCTGCTGGAATATTTTGGAATGTCCCAAACTCAGCTAGAATGGTAAGAGAAATGGTGGAATGAGCTCCCCAATGACACCAGAAGGCCTTTACAGCTAAAAACACACCTCTACCCACTACACCTGGATATGTATTACATTACATTACACCTGGATGTGTATTACATTACATTACATCTGGATATGTATTACATTACATTACACTACATCTGGATATGTATTACATTACATTACATCTGGATATGTATTACATTACATTACACTACATCTGGATATGTATTACATTACATTACATCTGGATATGTATTACATTACATTACATCTGGATATGTATTACATTACATTACACTACATCTGGATGTGTATTACATTACATTACATCTGGATGTGTATTACATTACATTACATCTGGATATGTATTACATTACACTACATCTGGATATGTATTACATTACATTACATCTGGATGTGTATTACATCACATTACACTACATCTGGATATGTATTACATTACACCTGGATGTGTATTACATTACATTACACTACATCTGGATATGTATTACATTACACCTGGATGTGTATTACATCACATTACACTACATCTGGATATGTATTACATTACACCTGGATATGTATTACATTACATTACACTACATCTGGATATGTATTACATTACATTACACTACATCTGGATATGTATTACATTACATTACACTACATCTGGATATGTAGCACTTCCTTATAGCACTTTGTACCAATAAAAACGTAGGTTGTCATTTTTTATTAAAAAAACAAATCAACGTATCTGAAAATGAGGTTGTAACGTTACTGACTAATTGAAAATAGTATTTTTTTAATCGATTACTTGTGAATTCTTACATAAATGTAATCGTGGTAAATCCAGTGAGCGTGTGCGGCTCAGTGGGACCGTGAACGCGGCGCATCGCTACCTCACTAACACCAATGTTTCATTACCCACACGCCCGTTTGCTGATGGCGGGTTATTGTAATCTGACGGGGGTCTGGACGACACCTCGGATCACAATGAAGAAGCAACAGCAGCGTGCAACACTAACTAACTGAAGTGAAGCACTGATCTGACGCACTGATCCTGAACGCATCATCGGCGGCGCTCGGGCCGTTTCCTGGTGCAGCGGATCCGCCTGAGAGACACAGACAGCGGCTCGGCAGCACCACTGCAGCCGCGCAGCTGAGAGGGAGGACGTGAAAGAGATTTAATCCGTTCGTTCGAAGAGCTCTCCCCCCACCCCATTTCCCTTACCCCCCCCTCCCCCAGGTCCGGTTCAACTAGGCTTGGTCTGCGGAGCTGCTGCTGAACTAAGCTAGCGCGGCTAGCTCACTTCAGCTAGCGCGGCTAGCTAGCTAGGAATTTATCAAGTGTAGCGTTAGTTCGAATTTATTTAGCATTTTTCTCTCCAAGCTGCAAACGGACAAGGAAAAAGTATGTCGGCCAAAGAGCCAAGCAAACTGTCCACCACCGAACGACCTATCAAAGGTGAGACTCTCATTTCTTATCGCTTCATCCCCCGGCGGCAGGAAGTTAACTGTCAAGGCTAACGCGAGCTAGCTGACAGCTAAACGTGGGGAGGGCAGGGTAACTCTAAAGCCCCCGGTACCGGCAGTTTACTCGGTGTTTCGGGGGTGATTGTGGCTTTTACTACACCACCTGCCGCTCCCATACAAAACACAACCGAGTGATTGAGGCAGTGCGGTTGTGGTAGTGAATCAGCCCGAGCGGTGCCGCACGGGTTAGCTCCTTAGCTTAGCCGTCCGGACTGCCAGATGCCAGGTTGAGTTTGACGCCCCCGGACTCCGCGGTCCGGTCCGGGGTGCAGATCGCGGCGGAGTGAGGCGGGATGGAGTCACTCCGTCTTATGGAAGAACTTGGTGTAAAATGAACTAATGGTTCCGCCACTTCTGTGTTTACTCGACTGGTAGCAGAAGATGTTTGTGTCGGTTGATTGATTTTCTCTGAAAAATCATCTCTTTCCATTTGAATTTGTTGTTTTTGCAGACAAATCGATCAGATTACATTATAAACAAACAGTAGCAGCCGTAAATGATGCATTGTCCATTAAATACATAATGACAATACGATGATTGCTGATTTATCAAAGCTTTGAGATTTGAATAGTTTATAACGAGAACCAAATGAAGCTAAAGTGATTTTGAGGAGTAATCAATAATACGTGTGATCGGGTTATTGATTCCACACTAAAATAGATCTTCTATTTTCACTGATTCTGTGGCTGATGAACTTGAGGGTTTACTTCCTCTCGGCCCAGCAGGTATTTAGATGAGTTATGGTGATGCTCTCAGAGCACGTCGGCCACCAACCGGAGACACAGTCAAACAAGTAGAATGTCAAGAGGTCATCACTCAGGAAATAATGACACATTCCAACAAAGTGACTTTACTATTTATTTCGCAGCAGGCCTTGTTTGATTGGCTTACCAGCTAATGAGGATTAGCCTGTTAAAGCTGCCTCCTTAAGGCGCACACACCTGGTCAGGTGTTCACTAGATAACTAAATACCGATGGTGTGTGGAGGAGATGAGCATGTTTGTTGCGTTTGGGAGGAGCCGCTCTAACACAAAGCAGCCGTCTGTTGGATCCCTTAGTTTGGTTTACATTTGACTGGCGGCTGACCACAGCGGCTACGGTGGCCTGCAGGGACAAAGTTCACCAGCCAGGGGATCAAATGAGCTTCACAAACACACTCCTGCTCGGCGGTTAAGAAAGAAACAACCACATGAAGACGTGCTTTGTGCCGTAAAGATGCTTTTGAGTTGTACTTTATGGTTGTTTCCTTCCTTCGTACGCAGAGCCGGGGGTCCTGAGGGTCCTCAGAGGACCAGATGTCCTCATAAAGGTCTCTTGTGGCTGGTTTCTGGTGATGAACTAGTTCAATGTGTGACCTGCTTCACTTTCTGTCTCTCTAAACTAGACCAGCTGGGGGGGGGGGAGTTAATAAGAGGGAGAGAGTGGAGAGCATGCCTAGAGACCTGTCAATCAGCGTGTAGCCCCGCCCCTCTGTCTGCTGGTGGCAGTGTACTCACCTGTGTGCGCAGCAAAGAGTGAACAACCATCAACTTAAAAAACTACCGTTTAGGGTCCAGATGACACATTCTGTGAGTCAACCTCCCAAGTGTGTGTGTGTGTGTAACCCGGCCCCCCACTGTGTCCCTGTAGCGGTGCCGTACCCCCCCGGGACCCACCTGTCGGTCAAGGACCTGTACGTGGACGGGAGGCCCAGCGTGGAGGTCCTGAAGGCCCACCTGGTGAAAGAGGGCCGGGTGGAGGAGGAGACCGCTCTGAGGATCATCAACGACGGAGCCGCCATCCTCCGTCAGGAGAAGTGCATGCTGGAGGTGGAGGCTCCCATCACAGGTGATCCCCTCCTCTCTAGTGTGACAGGGTTCTGTGTTTGTATTATATTATGGCTGTCAACACAACGCGCTAATCCATGCGACTAATGTGGCCCAAATGAATGCGACAATATTCTAACGTTGTTCACTTGACCACGGAAACTAATGGGAGAACGCGAGGCGGGAGCTGAAGATGGACACAGCTTTTTGCTTTGGAAGTAAAACAAACAGAAGACTTGTGCACAGGAATTCCTGCACGTGTGCAAACGGACCACTGATAGCTTAGCAGCTAGCTTAGCCTATGCTAGCTGCAGAGGACCACCACTGTGTCCCCAAATGACAATGACGACATTGTTGGCAACATGTTAAATGTGTTGAGAGCAAAGTGCACGAGGACGACAGGAAGAGTTGCTGGTTCCACATGTTCCACATGTTCCACATGTTCCACACGTTCCACACGTTCCACACGTTCCACACGTTCCACACGTTCCACACGTTCCACACGTTCCACACGTTCCACACGTTCCACACGTTCCACACGTTCCACACGTTCCACCTCCAAGATGTCACATGTGTGCAGTTACTGTTTAAAATACACACTTTTTAAAGTGATGCTTATTAGTAGTCGTCGTGGCGCGGGGCGCTAGAGAGGATGCGCCGCAAACCGCAAGGTTGGTAGTTCGAGCACCAGCTGCCCCATGTTGAAGCGTCCCTGAGCAAGACACCCTAAAGCCACGTGTTAAACATGTCAGGGACCTGTGGGTCACTGACATTAGGGCTGTATTGACACTAATATATAATGTGCTCTCAATTAGTAAATAGGTCTGCATTTAAAATAAGAGAAAATAAATCAAATGTAAAGATTGTACACAAATAAAGTGCTCAAATTCCCCCCCAAAAAACGTGAAGAAAAGCTTGAATTTCCCCTTTTCTCCTTCACATTCGGACCCGACTCAGCAAATCATGATTTAATAAATCTGACCACATTTTAACAATTGAACAGTTTAATAGAAATATATATATATATATAATTATATATTTCTATATCCACTTGTTTGCTCGGTGGGAGAATTGAGAATCGGGGCCGTTCTCCTCACACGGAGGCTCATTGGGCCTCATAACAGTGTTCTAATGGGCTGTGAGCACATGAGGCGCTGGTTTAGTGCTGCAGCATCAACAGAAAGCAGCCCGTCCACTGAGGATTAAAGGCTCTACTTTTACTGTCTACGGTTCTTTTTTGTTCCTCATTTTTCTCACTCGTCTTTTTCTTTTTCTTCCTTCTGACTTTTTATCTGTAACTTGTTGCTTTCTGTCTGCACTGTTGAGACGACGTCATCGTCCTGCGTGGAGTGCAAAGACTCGATTGGCTGAGTGGGATCACGCGGGGCGGTTTGAAACGCACCCCTCTGTTCTAGCTGTAGGACCGGGTCCGGCTGGGACGCTTCTGGGTCCAGATCCAGCCCGCCAGTTACTGAGCTCTGCTGTAGTGAGCTAGCGTGTGTGTGTGCTTCTCTCAGTGTGCGGCGACGTCCACGGGCAGTTCTTTGACCTGATGAAGCTCTTCGAGGTGGGGGGGTCCCCCAGCAGCACCCGCTACCTGTTCCTGGGAGACTACGTGGACCGAGGCTACTTCAGCATCGAGGTACGCGCTAGTTGTGGCGGACATGTTGGCGCGGTAGTTTCAGGGGACCTGGTCCACGGCCCGGTTGTCCTGGGGGGCTCAACGGGACCTCTGACTTACCTCCAGTGTGTGATGTGCTCTGCAGTGTGTTCTGTTCCTCTGGGCGCTGAAGATCAACCACCCCAGCACCCTCTTCCTCCTCAGAGGGAACCACGAGTGCCGGCACCTCACAGAGTACTTCACCTTCAAGCAGGAGTGTAAGTCCTCCACCTCTCACACCAGCACCTGTGCACCGTGTGTGTGTGTGAGACCTGTGTGTGTGTGCAGGTAAGATCAAGTACTCTGAGAGGGTCTATGATGCCTGCATGGATGCGTTCGACTGCCTCCCTCTGGCTGCTCTCCTCAACCAGCAGTTCCTGTGCGTCCACGGAGGCCTGAGCCCCGAGGTCACCTGCCTGGATGACATCCGCAAGGTGAGCTGCACCTGGGGGCCAACGAGGCTGGGCCCCATACCAGAACCATGACGTACTGCCATACTGGAATATTTATCTATGATAGTAATAAATAAAACTCTGTCTGACTGTCGGAGGGATAAATGTCATGTCGAGTTTGATATTCTCACATTTAATTTAAGCCCATTTCATCAAGTGTGTGTTATTTGGTACATTCTGACCTCATGATCATAAAGACCCACATGAGGGAAATTGTAGGTTCTTTTACATCACATGTCATTTAGCTGATGCTTTTATCAACCATGAGGATACAAACTACAGTTAGTTAGTGTGTTAGTGGAGGTAGTCTGAAGATGTGAAGGCTCTCTGTGGTCCTGATGTCTTCAGACCTCCTTCCACCATTTAGGAGCAGGACAGCAAAGAGTGGAGATCTAGTGGAGTGTTTTGCTCTCAGTGAGGAGGAACAAGCAGTTTATCACATGCAGAGCGGAGAGGTCAGAGGTCGGACCATGAGGATGTAGACTGGACTCCATCCACAGATGTTCTGTACTGTAAAGATGACATGTAGTGTGTGAACGTCTCCGTCTATCTGCTCCCTCTCATCTGAAGCTGGACCGGTTCAAAGAGCCACCGGCCTTCGGCCCCATGTGTGACCTGCTGTGGTCGGACCCAGGAGAGGACTACGGGTCGGAGAAGACTCAGGAGCACTTCAGCCACAACAGCGTGAGAGGCTGCTCCTATTTCTACAGGTAGGACCGAAGAGAGACGATCACAAGCTCTAATTGTTGGTTACGGTGTCGATGA